TGTCACTTTAAGCTGTAAAGTGTCTTGAATTTTTTTTATTAAATATTATTTACTGTCATTATGACAGATAAAATAAATCAGTTATCAGAAATTAGTTATTAAAACTATTATGTTAAGAAATGTGTGGAAAAAATCTCTTCGTTAAACAGAAATTGGGGAAAAAAATAAACAGGGGGGCTAATAATTCTGACTTCAACTGTATATAATACTTATAAGAGTCCTCTATTACTCGAATGACACAATCCAAACGGGATGGTTTAAAGTGTCTGACATTTTTATGCCTCGTCGAGCTCTGCCAGGTATCGGATTAACCAATATTTACGTAAATGATGATCTTCGCCTAGAGCTTTTAGCGGTTTCCCTCTAGGTGGTCCATTTGTGTACGACAACCTGACACCTTCTTAAGTCTACATACGGTTTTCTGTCTTTCTGGTGACATATTAGTGTCGTCATCTGATTCGAGGATAACAATAACTCGAGTCGTGACAGCTAGGACTGCTCTGGGGGGGGGAAAGTCTTTAAAGATGAGCTTTTAAATGATGTCCCACAAGTCGTTTAAAGTGATAGTTCACCCCAAAATGGGGCAATGCAGTAGGTAGTGTTGTCGCCTCACAGCAAGAAGGTTGCTCGGTTGCTGGTTCAAACCTCGACTCAGTTAGCATTTCTGTGTGGAGTTTGCATGTTCTCCCTGCGTTCGCGTGGGTTTCCGCCGGGTGCTCCGGTTTCCCCCACAGTCCAAATAAGGTGAATTGTCCGTAGTGTATGAGTGTGTGTGTAAATGTGTGTGTGAGATGGGTTGAGGCTGGAAGGGCATCCACATAAAATAAAATAAAATAACATAAAAATGTGCTGGATAAGTTGCCGGTTCATTAAGCTGTGGCGACCAATGGATTCATAAAGGGACTAAGCCGACAAGAAAATGAATAAATGAGTTCACCCCAAAATGAAAATGCACTGATCATTTTCTACTACTATATACTTCCCAGGTAGCAAAGAAATCTGGCCCAGATTTGGCATAAAGCCAAGTGGTGCTCGCTGCAGAGCCATTTGGGCGAACTGAGCTCCAGCGAGGGGGAGCTTGAGCTTGAGCTCCACCTTTTTTGCACTTCTTCTACGAGTGATGTCACTGGGGGTAGGGTTAGGGGTGGGGTTGGTGTACGCATTAAAACAGCTTACAGGAGGCAGAGCGAGAGCTCATGCTCCCCCTCGCTGGAGCTCAGCTCTGCTCAAATGGCTCTGCAGCAAGCACCCTCTCTATAAAGCTGGCACAGCAGACATTCATCCGGCACTGGCAAACAGCATGTGGGTCAAACATGGCCTAGGTTTGGAAGAGGTGACACCGTCTTTAAGGTGGCACTCAAGACTTGGGCCATAATGTATATGTATAATGTATTTGGCCCAGGTTCTGAAATATGATATTTGGGCCAAGTAAGTTTGGCCCGTCTTGACCCACATTTAAAATACATTTTTATTATTTTTGAGCAACGAAAAAAATTCTACCAATCAGGTCACTTCCAAGAAAAGCATGCCCATAGCACAATGAAATTGTTAACGCTTTATGTCAGTCAGTCTTTAGTCAGTCAGTCAGTCTTTATTCATTTCCCAAAGGCAATTTGGTTACAGCAGACAAGCATGTCACACACAATACACAAAAGTACATCATACAATACAAATTCTACCCTAAGTTTAAACAGTTTACAGCTGAGGGGATGAATGAAAGTTTAAAATGATTTGTTTTACTAATTAACTAACGAGTTCTGTATCGAACACCAGAAGGGAGAAGATAAAACTCGTGGTGCATAGGATGGGAATCATCTGACAGAATACTCTGAGCTTTTCTCAAAACTTATCTCTGGTATAACTGAGCCATGAGCATCTGTTTTTTCCCTGTTATTTTTCCTCCTAGGTTCACAATTGTCTCCAAACAACTCTTATTTTTCACACTTAGAGAATTGAACCAACAAAGCAAAGAAAAGGAGAACAGTGACTGAATGTATGCACTGTAAAACATGCACATGAGTGATTTATCTATACCAAAAGATTTCAATTTCTGTAAACAGTATAATCTTTGTTGCCCCTTCTTACACAACATATTAGTATTAGCAGAAAAGGATCATTTATTATCTAAAACAGTTCCCAGATACCTATACTGATCAACACTTTCAACATCCTCTCCATTAATACTAGTTTGCTTACCCTCAATCAGTCTCCTCTTACGATTAAAATCAATGGTCATCTCTTTCGTCTTAAGAACATTCACTTGTAAGAAAGCCTCCTGACACCAGCTGGCAAAATAATCAATTACAGGACCGTGCGTGGAGGCTTCCTCACTTAACAAACTAACAATTACAGAATCGTCAGCAAATTTTACTAAAAATACTCCTACAACTATTTGTGTACAAAATAAATAGTACAGGAGAAATGTGTTTATCAATTTCATTGCAGTTGTGAAACAGCAACATGTCTGGTCCAGTTATGGGTTATTAATATGGCTGAGATTTGGCCCAGATATGGTCCATGTTTGGCCCTTGTCTGAAAGTCTGACTTGGTCATATACGGTAATTCACTGTGGCATGTGGGCCAGAGCTGGGCCAGAGAAATTTTGCCATCTGGACCAAATCTCAACCAAGTCAATAACCCATAACTGGGCCTGAACTGGGCCAGATATGTAAGACTGGAATGAGTTTGAATAACCCATTAAGCAGTCCGCTTTAGGAGCGGTATGGCCGTGTTTTTTTCTGGAAGCAGCCTAATTTTTTTTTCTTTACTCCAAAATATTTTAAACGTATTTTAAAAGTGGGTCAAATTAGGCCAAACTTACGTGGACCACATATATATTTTGAACATTCGGTCCAAATCCTACATTTGATATCTGGCCTAAATCTTATGTGCCTTAAAGACAGTGCCACCTCAGTCAAACTCAGGCCTTATTTGGCCCGCATGCTGTATGCCAGTGTCGGATGAATGCCTGCTGTGCCAGCTTTATAGCAAATCTGGGCCAGATTTCTTTGCTACCTGGGTTGTTTGATTCCTGTTTGAGTTTCTTTTTTTCTGCTGGACAAAACAATAAGATATTTAGAAAAATGTAATTGACTTCCAAAGTATTTTAAGTATTTTTCCCTACTATGGAAGTCAATGGCTGTCGGTTTTCTAACATTCTTCCAATTATCTTCTTTTGTGCTCAACAGAAAAAACAAAGAAAAAAAAAAAAAAATATATATATATATAGGTGGCGCAGTGGGTAGCATGTTCGCATCACAGCAAAAAGGTCACTGGGTCGCTGGTTCGATCCTCGGCTCAGTTGGCGTTTCTGTGTGGAGTTTGCATGTTCTCCCTGCGTTCGCGTGGGTTTCCTCCAGGTGCTCCGGTTTCCCCCACAGTCCAAAGACATGCGGTACAGGTGAATTGGGTAGGCTAAATTGTCTGTAGTGTATGAGTGTGTGTGTGAATGTTTCCCAGAGATGGGTTGTGGCTGGAAGGGCATCCGCTGTGTAAAAACTTGCTGGATTAGTTGGCGGTTCATTCCGCCAGGGACTAAGCCGACAAGAAAATGAATGATATATATATATATATATATATATATATATATATATATATATATATATATATATATATATATAGGTCTGCAACCACTTGAGGGTGAGTAAATGATTGCACATTTTTGTTTTTGGTGAACTATGCCTTTATTAGGAACACTGAAAGCTAGAGTGAAATGCTTTTATTATTTCTGAATGACTGAACGCATTTGGGGCTCGTTGATGTTTAAGTCTCTGGATACTTTATTAGGCTCAGTCGGTTCAACTGTTACTACATACATAAATAATGGGGTAAAAATCTGTTTATTTAGCAAATGCACATACATCGGCGTTGTTTTTTAAAGATAAGCAGGCACTAAATTAACACGAGTCAATCGGGGAAAAAAGAAAAACGTCTCAACAGAGTAGGCTTTCAACAGCGGTATAATGGCGGTCTCTAGTGGCGCAGTTTATTTTTGCAAGCAATTGATATTGTGGTATTTTACATAATCACTTGTGCATGATTTAACGTCTTTAATGCTTTGTTATTTATTTTCTACGCATTGCTTTATTATTTAATATAGACTAGGTAGTAAGGGATACTGATGCTGCACTATAAAAATGCAGAGTTCCACACAATCAATTTGTGTTGGTACAACATGATTGAATTAAGTTACCTTTTGACAAATTATGTGGATTGAACATAAAAATTAAGTTTTCCCAATGAAATCTCAAGAAATGTGTTGTTTCAACTAATTTTAAATAAGCAGTTTGAACGAGCAAAAAAATAAAAAAATATATTTATATATATATATTTTTTTTTTCAGTGTAGTTGTCACATTTTTAACTAAAACTATTTATATTTTATTGTTTTAAAGTTTACATGCATAATTCTAAAACACTGACTTGACGAGCTTGTTGAGACATTGTCTGTTAATTAATAAATGTGTTATAAAAGTATAACATTGTGTGTCTATATAGCGTGTAAATAGAATAAACAATATTGGCCATAGGATATGACTGTGAATGTGAGAGTGTATGGGTGTTTCCTAGGTTGCAGCTGGAAGGGCATCCGCTGTGTAAAACGAAGCTATGCTGCAAAAGTTATCGGTTCATTCTGCTGTGGCGACCCCTTGTGAATAAAGGAAGCCAAAGGAAAATGAATGAATGAATGAATGAATGAATGAATGAATGAATGAATGAATGAATGAATGATAGCGTGTAAATTCACAAAAGAAATGTATGAGCATAGGTACGGCGTCATATAAGCAAAGAGAACCACTCTAAGCTTTTTGATATAAGCATGCCGTTTATCGTTGTTGACTTTTGTTAGAGTTGTTATATACGTCCAGGGTAATAGATTTCAACAATAAAGTAAGGTGACGTTAATATTAAAAAAAAAACTTTTACTGAAATACAACCGGTCGTATTTGATTGTAACGTTATAGGAACCTTTTAGGATTTCCGCAATTCCTGACCGGGTTTATTTATAAGTGACACCACACTGCTACTCGTTTCATCTTCGTTGACTGTTTTTCGTCAAAAATAATAAGGTAGGACACCCCTTGGTTCTTTCATTTTCTTAGTTTTTTTGTATTTCTTATGTTTTTAACATACTGAGTTTGTAGTATGATAATAAAATGATCGAAAAAATATTTCAGGCTAACGTTAGGTTAATTTGCTAAACTAATGAACAGAAGTCTAAATGTGTTAGTGCATTTATTTCTGAATCCATACCAAGAAAACAATTACGAACCCCTGAATGTTAACTTGTTTAATAACATACTATTTATGTTTTCAGTCTGAGGTCTGTGGTTTCCAACAAATATGTCTGTGGAAGTGTTTAGAGAAAAGCTAAATAGATAATATTAGTGTAAATATGACCTAAAAAGAAGACGAACGAGTGAGTTTTAACTTAGAATTTTCTGTATTTTGACATTCGCATCTATACATTGGGAGTTTAAGAAATAAGTAAATCCCTTTCTTTGGCATCTGAATAGTAGCAATCCCCTTTTAACGTTACACTCACTGACACAAGTCTTAATATAATTAAGTTAATGATTTAATTAGGACGGTAAGGTCTGACTTTGCTTCGACAAAAGTCTCGTCACTTAACAGAAATAATGTTCAGTATAGAATATAAAGTCATGCTGCAGTGGAGAAAGAATGAATATTGTGTCTGACTCCATCATGAGCTCAGAGGACTGCATCCATACATCTCTGCACTGACTCAAATCACTTATTAATAAAGTCATCTGGAATGGCAAAGAAAGCGTTCTTGCAGGACTCCCAGAGTTCATCAAGACTCTTTGAATTCATCTTTAATGCCTCCTCCATCTTACATCAGACATGCTCAATAATGTTCATATCTGGTGACTGAACTGGCCAATCCTGGAGCACCTTGACCTTCTTTCAGGAGCTTTGATGTGGAGGCTGAAGTATGAGAAGGAGCGCTATCCTGCTTGAGAATTTGCCCTCTCCTGTGGTTTGTAATGTAATGGGCAGCGAAAATGTCTCGATACCTCAGGCTGTTGATGTTGCCATCCACTCCGCAGATCTCTCGCACGCCCCCATATTGAATGTAACCCCAAACCATGATTTTTCCTTTACCAAACTTGACTGATTTTTGTGAGAATCATGGGTCTATGTGGGTTCCAGTGGGTCTTCTGCAGTATTTGTGATGATTGGGATGCAGCTCAACAGACCTTTTCCCACTTTTCCAAGTGATCAACTTGAAGTCAAGTTATTATTTGTTGCTCTTACAACTGGGATAACCGACAAGACTTTTGTCAGGTAGTGTATGTATGTTGTAAGTTGCTGTTATTTAATTGACTTTTTTGTCTTTATTTCAGCTAAATTATCCTGACTCCAAATTGTGTCCATCTGCTTCCGAAATGGAGCCAGCATGTCGAAAAGACAAACAGAAACAGCAAACACCAACGCGTGGAGACAGAACGAAACAGAAAACAGCCCAGCAGGAGCTGAAGCAGAGACAGAGAGCAGAGGTGATCTGGTTCGGTCTGATGTGATTGGTCTACAACACAGGTGTTGATTACAGCTTCTGGAGGGCCGCAGATCTGCCCAGTTTAGTTCCAGCCCTGCTTCAACATACTTACCTGTAGGTCTCAAACAAGACTGAAGGGCTCAATTAGTTTGATCAGGTGTGTTTAATTAAGGTTGGAACTAAACTGTGCAGAGCTGCAACCCCCTTCAGGAACTGGCTTTGACACCTGTGGTCTACCGTATATAGTGAAACTAACTTTCTGTTTCTGTTTTTTTATGTGTCAGATTTATGCCCTGAACAAAGTCATGACCGAACTTGAACAGCAGCAATTTGAGGCCTTCTGCAAGCAGATGCAGTCACAATCAGAATGAGGAAGAACTCCAGTCAGAGTAAACACACAGGTTAGGGTTAAGTAACTTACCATTTTACCCGTATTATTGTAAACCATATGATAATCAACCCTTTCATTTACACCGTCATTTACACCGAATTGTATTCACTCTAGAATGCTTGACTGTATTGGATTGAATCAAACTGTACAATCACGCCACAAATGCTTGTCAGTATGCACAAAACCAGACATATCATAATAATGTGTCATGTTTATCAAAGCACCACCCTGGACAGTGCTGTCATTTCATTTTCACTTTAAAAAATATACCTAAACATTGGAAAATATTCTGTTATTTTTCTCACCGGCTGGTCATTTAAGATTTAAATGAAACTGTGGATATACTGGGATTTTTTTTCGGGGTTTTCACCTTTATTGGATAGAACAGTAGAGAGTATTGACAGGAAAGCATGGGGAGCAGAGAGAGAGGAAGGCTCAGGACCGCAAGGCTGGAATCAAACTCAGGTTGCCGTGAGCACCGGAGTGCATTTGTCGATGCACTAACCACTACACTACTTGTGCCGACTATACTGGGATTTTGAGGATAAATAAATACAGTTAAAACCCTTTTTATGATATATTGAGGTGAATATGTATATGAATATGAAGGGAAATTATTGGTTTGTGCAAGAAACTGACTATGTTCATCATTTCCTGTCATCAACAGCCTCGACAAGTAAGTAGCCTTTGACTTGCATAGTATGAATCGCCTAGGACCATGGTTTCATATAAAAATACTTCAGTTTTGGGTCAGCTATCTATTTGATTGAGCTGTTTTGTAACATGCAATGTTTTTTCCTGAATGAGTATTACATTTTACTTTACAATACTGTATAAAACTGTTCTAGACAAACAACAATCTAGCGCTATGTCGGGTCAAGAAAATAAGATACAGCCGTCACTCTTTTGGTTTATTGTTAATTTATGATTTGTGACCTACTGTAATAATGTTTTACAATAATAATAATAAAAAATAATAAATTATTTTTAATTTTAAAAAATAATAAATTATTTTTAATAATTTGTTTAAAAATTTATTAAAAATATTTCTAAACAAATATATATGTGTATAAAATGTTTTATTATATTTCTACATTCCATCAAAAAGATGATGCTAAATTTTGCTTATCAGGAAACAATTGTAGCTAAATTTATATTTAAAAAATCGGCTTAGTTCCTTTATTAATCCGGGGTCGCCACAGTGGAATGTACCGCCAACTTATCCAGCACGTCTTTACGCAGCGGATGCCCTTCCAGCCACAACCCATCTCTGGGAAACATCCACACATACACTACGGACAATTTAGCTTACCCAATTCACCTGTACCACATGTCTTTGGACTGTGGGGGAAACCGGAGCACCCGGAGGAAACCCACGCGGACCCAGGGAGAACATGCAGAAACTTCACGCAGAAACGCCAACTGAGCCGAGGTTCGACCCAGCGACCTTCTTGCTTAGGCGACAGCACTACCTACTGCGCCACTGCCTCGCCTAGCTACATTTCTTAAGCATCAAATGAGCATATTGGAATGTGTTGAAAGACCATGTGACACTGTTTCCATCCACCTCTTTTTATGTGCGTTTTGGAATATGGCATATAAAAAGTCAAGATGCGCATACTTTTGAAATTGCGCATAAAAAACTGAGTAGCATAAACGTTTTATCTGATAAGAAAAATGTGCATAAACTGAATGGAACGCATTTACTAAATAAATTCCAGTATGCACTTTAAATTTTGCATTGATTTTGTTACAAGAGATCATGTGATGATAATAGCATTAATGGGGAAACCAGCAGCCTGACCGGTTCAGTAAAATTATTAATATATTATTATTACCTCCAGGACTATCTTGAGCGTCTGTGCTCCCACAGTGCTCTCACATCTCTAAAATTCACCACATGGTAATTACATTTTGTCTTCTGAGGTGTTTGTAATTTATAATATAAGAAAAAGACTTGCGCAGCTTCTCCCACCTCAGCAAATTCTGTTTTTCTTTTTTATATTTTGTGCCAGTTTATCAGAAAGTTACGATTTTGTTTTCTTTGACTCATTGGTTGGAAACGCAGCATTATTGGCAAATATTTTAGGCGATATTCCAGTTTGACACATACATTCTATCATATAGCTACTAAAGACCAAAGTACATTGAAACATTTTCATATTCAATCTGTTGTTAACTTAAGACTCTTGGGTTTGTTTTAGCAGGATTCTTTATTGAGAAATTGCCATTGCTGCAGTTACAAAGAAGTCTAAGAGAAATCTAATTAATGTAGTGCAGGGGTGGCCAACCCTGTTCCTGGAGAGCCACTTTCCTGCAAATTTGTTGCAACCCATATCAAACACACCTGCCTGTAATTATCACGTCGTGTTCACGTCTTAATTAATTGGTTCAGGTGTGTTTGATATGGGTAGCAACTGAAATCTGCAGGAAGGTGGCTCTCCAGGAACAGGGTTGGTCACCCCTGGTGTAGTGTAACATGGTATTTTTGCTGCATTCCAGTCCAATTATTTATGCCCTTCAATCACTAACCTCGGATTTACATCACTGATTACGTCACATAAGTGTCCACTACTGGCAGAGCATCTGAATGGGTTTAAATAGAGTGCCCTAAACCCTTGAGCACTTGGTTACTATACTGTTGTGATGCATTCTGGGACATATTGGTGCTGGAGTGGACATATGAAGCAGTTTTGCATATGTCCATGTAAACTTGTCTCCTACACTTAATGAAGTGGAAAACACTTTCAAATGTCGTCGAAGATTCCCCTGAGGGAACAAGTGAAAAGAAGTTTGCGAGTGCGTGTCTAAATGTGGACTGGAATTCAGCTTTTATTTACATTTTAGGGGGGGTAGTGCTTATAGGTGGAGACAAAGAAACAGGACTGACAACTTTAGCAAAGGATGTAAATGAAGTGGATATTTGAAAGTCTTGTTTTAGAAGTTTTACCCACCCTGATATCAGCATATTGTGCATTTGACATGTGAATCAGTTGAGTTGCAAAGTCTGAATTGTGGCGGACATCCAAGTTAGCCATTTAGCAAGAAAACTGGAGTCACCAGGCAGACAGAAACCCCTCCGACGACCTGAATCTGCATCTGGGGTCCGTTCTTCGTACGTGGATTACTCAGTTAGCTGGATTTGGATATTGACAATTTGACACGATCCAGGATCGTTTCGTTCTTCAAAGCTGATCCGAGAGTTGTTTTCATAGCAACAGATCTGCTAGGTCAAACCTGATCGGGAGCAGGTTCAAATCATATAAACAGGATTAGATCGGCTCAGTTCAAGCAAAGATAACACAGAAAGTATGTTCTGAATTCTGATATTTTCTTACAGTTGTAGTTATATACACTTGGGAAAATGGTACATATTTTTTAACTATATATATAAAGTTAAAGTCATTAATAAAATAAATAAAGTTATACATATTAATAAAACATATGCAATCTGCACCCTTGAAATGAAAGTACAAAGACTGCCACCTGGTGGTGCAAAGAGAAAACTTATTGATATGAACTTTTTAGATCGCTTCAGTACAAATTGTGTATAATAGAAATGCACAATATGTGACTTTTTTAAAGCAATAATACCCTTATGCAGTCATAAACATGTTTTGATAGTTATGCCAGTGATTTGATGCTTCACAAAAGTTGCAGACGCCTTTACCAATATCAAAATGCTTTTGTAAACAACCAGTTATTCTTTACACCGATTAAAAAACGGCTACTATTATAAAGAAAATATTTTCTAAATGTAGAACAAAATACATTGATTTTCATTGAAATACATGATGAATACTCTTGACACATGAAAGTGTAAAGCCTGCAGCTCACAACAAATGTGGAGAGTTATTGCGTGTCATATTTAACAAACCGTTTACTGCTAATTTGATGTAATTTTGCTCACATGGATAATTGAATATTAATCAGATGATGTCATCACGCTGCTGTGCCGTCAGCCAATCGTTGTATTGCTGATCATGATTTCGAGGATCAATAGATCTGCCCTTCACAACACAAGCAGCGATCTCAGATCAGTTCATCCAGACATTCTAATCTGATTCGCGAACTCGTTTGAAGAACCAAATTAGCGAGAGATCAGTTATCAAGATTAAAAGATCCGGGATCTGCCAAATATTCTTAGATCATTTAAGCGAGGTACGAAGAACGGACCCCTGTTGTGAAGTGAATTTGACACGCGAATGAAGCAAGTAAACTCAAAATGTTCACGCGTCTAGTGTGGACGTCCCATAAGAGATTAGTGTAGTGTAAAAGTATTTTGGCTGCATTCCAGTTCAGTTGTTTATGCCCTTTAATCGCTAACTTTCCTCTGTCTCGTTCCCTTCGGATCATTGATTACGTCACACAAGTGTCCACTTCTGGTGGAGCATCTGAATGGGCTGAAATGGAAAGCCCTAAACCAGTGTTTCTCGACCACATTCCTGGAGGACCACTGGCTCTGCATATTTTCCATGTCTCCTTCACCAAACACACCTATTCAGATCATGAGCTCATTAGTAGAGACTGAAAGACCTGTAATGGGTGTGACAGACAAAGGAGACATCCAAAATGTGTAGTGATGGTAGTCCTTCAGGAACGTGTTGAGAAACACTGCCCTAAACCAATGGTCTCATACTCTATTCCTGGAGGGCCACAGCTCTGCATAGTTTAGCTTTAACCAGCTCCAACTCCGCTGCTTAGTAGTCTTGAACACCTTGATTATTTGGATTAGCTGTGTTTGATTATGGTTGGAGCAAAACTGTGCAGAGCTGCAGCCTCCAAGTATCCAGTTCAAGACCTATACCCTAAGCCCTTGAACATTTGGGAACTACACTATTGTGATGCATTCTGGGACTTGTAGGTGCTGGAGTGGACATATGAAGCAGACTCGCTCCCTCTGTCAAAATCGAAGGTATGTTCATGTAAGCTTCCCTTATACTCTTGATGAAGTGGAACAAACTTCAAAATGGCGGCGAGAATTTCCCTCAGGAAACAAGTGAAGAAAGTTTGAGAGTGCGTGTCTAAAAGTGGACTGGAATGCATCTTTTAAATACATTTTAGGGGCGCAGTGCCTTTAGGTGGACACAAATAAACAGGCCTGACAACTTTAGCAAAGAATGTAAATAAAGTGGATATTTGAAAGTCTTGTTTAGAAGTTTTACCCACCCTGATTTCAGCATATTGTGCATTTGACATGTGAATCGCTCGAGTTGCAAAATCTGAATTGTGGCGGACATCCAAGTTAGCCATTTAGCAACGAAACTGGAGTGACCAGGCAGACAAAAACCCCTCCGACAACCTGAATCTGCATCTGTTGTGAAGTGAATTTGACACGAATGAAGCGAGTAAACTCAAAATGTTCACACGTCTAGTGTGAACGTCCCATGAGAAAAATCTAATTAGTGTAGTGTAACAGTATTTTTGGCTGCATTCCAGTTCAGTCATTTATACCCTTAAATCACGAACTTCCTTCCGTCTCATTCCCTCGGATCATTGATTACGTCTCACCAGTGTCGACTACTGACAGAGCATCTAAATGGGCTGAAATGAAGTGCCCTAAACCAGTGTTTCTCGACCACATTACTGGAAGACCACTGGGTGTGACAGACATAGGAGACATCCAAAATGTGTAGTGATGGTGGTCCTCAAGAAACGTGTTGAGAAATACTGCCTCAAACCAATGGTCTCATACTCTATTCCTGGAGGGCCACAGCTCTGCATAGTTTAGCTTTAACCAGCTCCAACTCCGCTGCTTAGTGGTCTTGAACACCTTGATTATTTGGATTAGCTGTGTTTGATTATGGTTGGAGCAAAACTGTGCAGAGCTGCAGCCTTCCAAGTATCCAGTTCAAGACCTATACCCTAAGCCCTTGAACATTTGGGAACTACACTATTGTGATGCATTCTGGGACTTATAGGTGCTGGAGTGGACATATGAAGCAGACTCGCTCTGTCAAAATCGTAGGTATGTTCATGTAAGCCTCCCTTATTCACTTGATGAAGTGGAACAAACTTCAAAATGGCGGCGAGAATTTCCCTGAGGGAACAAGGTGAA